TCGTGTCATTGTACCACCCAAACTGCGCTCAAAAGTGCTTAGCTCACTGCATGATGGACACATGGGGGTTGTTAAAATGAAAAGCCTTGCGAGAAGTTATGTGTGGTGGCCTGGCCTTGATAACCAAATAGAGACTCTTGTGAAAACATGCACAGGTTGCCAACAAACCCATCAACAACCTCAGCTTGCTCCTGTCCACACTTGGGAATGGCCAACAGCTCCATGGCAACGCCAACATGTGGACTATGCTGGACCTTTTATGGAATTGATGTTCCTTATTGTGGTTGATGCAAATGGCCTGAAGTTTTTACAGTAAACAAGGCAACTACAACTAAAACAGTGGCCCAACTGCAAATGCTTTTTGCACATACTGGTTACCCGCTTCAACTGGTCAGCAATAATGGAACACAGTTTACCAGTGAAGACTTTCAAATGTTCCTGAAAAACAATGGAATAAAACACATCACTTCTGCTCCTCACCATCCAGCAACCAATGGACTGGCTGAGCGTTTCGTACAGACTTTTAAACAGTCCATGAAAGCAAGTAGGAAAGAGGAAGTGTCGCTGCAGCAGAAAATTGCCAACTTTCTACTGGCATACCGAAACACACCACACACAACAACTGGACAATCACCTGCAATGTTGTTTATGGGAAGAAACTTAAGGTCTCGTTTGGATCTATTAAAACCTGACATCCGTCAACATGTTACAAACAAACAAAGTTCTTCCACTCAACAACAACGAAAACTACGATCATTTGATATTGGACAAAAAGTGCTGGCTAGAGACTATCGCAACCAAAGTGACAAGTGGCATCATGCTGAGATTTTTTCACAAACTGGACCACTCTCTTACACTGTAGGTGTGGAACCTAATGTCGTCTGGCGCAGACATGTCGATCAACTTTTGGATGCATCACCTGGAAAAGACGCAAACCCACCAGTGACACCAACTGTCCCAAGTCAAAAGGACAGTACACTACCAGCAGACATGACAGTGGAAACCAACTCCACACCAGAAACTATTGACTGTCCCAGACCTGTCACAAACCTGTCTGATCCTCCGGGACGCAGATATCCTGAGAGGCACCGCAAACCTCCTGACAGACTTGGTTCATAGACTAAAAGTGTTGTATAAACCAAGTGTTGTAACAAAACAAAAATGTAAATGTAAATTTGTTATTGAAGTTGTTATTGAAGTTGTTATTCAAGTAACCATTTATCTCACTTTTGATTTTTGTTTGATAAGAGCATAAAAGCTGGAAGGGAGGAATTGTTATGTATTGATTACAACAGTAGGGACTACTTTCTCTCGAGTATACGCATAGCGCATATGTAATGAGCACGCGGGTAGCGTACTGATATCTTGTACTTTGAATGACACCTGTCAAGTAAAGACGTTACTGAAGTCACCGGAGTTTCTGTATGTTCTTCTTAAAAGTTATGTAAGAGACAAACATAACACTTATCCATGCATTTGTCTCCAGTAGGTTAGACTACTGCAATGGCCTGCTCACAGGTCTGTCCAAACAGGCTGTAAAACAGCTGCAGTACATTCAAAATGCAGCAGCTCAGTCCTGACTAGAACCAGGAAGTACGACCACATTAGTCCAGTTCTCAGGTCTCTGCACTGGCTTCCTGTGGCTCAGAGAATAGACTTTAAAACAGCTCTGCTTGTGTACAAGTCTCTCCATGGCCTCGCACCAAAATATATTAGTGACATGTTAGTCCCATATGAACCAGCCCGGACTCTGAGGAGCACAGGGACTGGACTCCTGTTAGTGCCCAGAGTCAGAACTAAACATGGGGAGGTTGCTTTTCAGATTCATGCCGCAAAAATCTGGAACAATCTTCCTGAAGATGTGAGACAGGCCTCCTCTCTGACAATGTTTAAAACGAGGTTAAAAACAGTTCTGTTTAGCTGTGCATACAACTGAGGGATTTTATATTTTATATTTTTATCTTTCTTTTTAATGTACTGTGATTTTTTATGATTTTAATGCTTTCTTATTTTTGTTCAGCACTTTGAGTTGCCTTGTGTATGAATTGTGCTATACAAATAAACTTGCCTTGCCTGTAAGTCAATAGGAGTCAGGGCAAGTTGGAGATAGATCTTTATCCAGTTCCCTTTTGGGCGCATTTGATTTAGTAGGTCAGTGATATCCATCTGTTTACAGTCTACACAAAGAACAGAAAGTACAGTAGATTGAAACAAAGCGCTAACGCTTCTCCGTCTCCAACTTGTGGCCAGGGAACTATAAGTCGCTTGCCATGCTCTTTCAGGTAGCTCCCCAAAGGAATCAGGAATTAGACACTAAATGATTGCATTTTGAGTCATTGCATATTTAATTTATTGGAATATAGAAGGATTTCAGTCTGGGTGGATAATCAACACTATTGGTCCTCTTAACTGTCAAATAAGACGAGAGGGTTTTGTTGAAAAAATGGAGAGGGTGGTTCTTTCCTAAAATTTGGGGAAATCCTCCTAAATACCTTTAACTATACGTGTTTTCATTATTAAATTTTCTGTAATGTAGGGTTGAACAGTAATATGGTACATGTTACTGTAAACAAAGTTTGCAATTTTCCTATGTTTTTACATACAGTAGACTACAGTTTTATTACAATTGCAAAAAAAGAGTAGCCCTCTGTCATTTCTATTGCGCTAAAGTAGAGCTCCAATTAATAAAAAGTTGGAGACCTCTGTCATCATGATAAGCATTTCTCGTCTCAAAATGCAATGTTCTTTCATTGACAGCTCGTCCACAAAGAGCTGAGTCACGGCCCTCGTCTCGCCTGCGATTGTGAGCAAAAAAGCAAAACGCCTTGAAACTAAACGCTCCTTTCCTGTTATGCAAGAGTGAATCGGTGGGTCTAAAAATGTGTGCATGTAGTTCAAATGGACTTATGCATGGTAGACGTCGTTGTGCAGGCAAAGAAACTTGAGCTGAGAAATGCCAAAGTTGTTGTACACCCCGGCCCTAAGAAATAAGAAAGTATTTAAGTATACAGCACATTTGGGAGTAGCAATATGTTTACATTTACTCACACAGACTGTATATGGATGGACAAAGCTGAAGACTGCGGTAGTCCAAAGAGAGGGACCAGAGAGAGAGACCAGAGAGAGAGCAGAGAGAAAGACAACAAAGAGACCAGAGAGATATGAGTGACCAGAAAGAGAGAGCAGAGAGAGACCACAAATAGACGAGTGAGAGCAGAGAGACTACAGAGAGAAAGACTAGAGAGACGAGAGGAACCAGAGAGAGACCAGAGATAGGGACCAGAGTGAGAGAGAGCAGAGAGAGACAACAAAGAGAAAGACCAGAGAGACGAGAGAGGGACCGGAGGGAGGGACCTAACCAGAGATAAAGACCAGAGAGAGGGACAAGAGTGAGAGAGAGCAGAGAGAGACAACAGAGACCAGAGAGATATTAGTGACCAGAAAGAGAGAGCAGAGAGAGACCACAAATAGACGAGAGAGAGCAGAGAGATCACATAGAGAAAGACCAGAGAGACAAGAGGGACCTAACCAGTGAGAGACCAGAGAGAGAAGAGTGACCAGAAAGAGAAAGAGAGAGAAAGACCAGAGGGACCGGAGGGGGGGACCAAACCAAAGAGAGAGACCAGAGAGGGACAAGAGTGAGAGAGAGCAGAGAAAAACAACAGAGACCAGAGAGATATTAGTGACCAGAAAGAGAGAGCAGAGAGAGACACACACACACACACACACACACAGACCTGTCAGACCAGTCCTACTATAAACACAGGAAACGTGAGAGCTCAACTTTTGAGTCACTGGACAGTTTTATGATGCGCAAGAAGAGAGTTGTTAATAGCCGGTGTAATTTCCCGGCCCTTTCTTCTGTGGAGTGTCTTACAAACATTTGACTGATGCAGCTATAGAAAAAAAGAACAATCGACCTGCATTTCTTTTTAGGTGGAGTGGGCGATTGTAGAGATTTTTAACACAATGTTAGATTTCAAGATGCAAAACCAGAGATATTAGACCAGTCCAAACAAAATAGTAATGACAGAGACCAAAGAGAGAGAGAGAGAGAGAGCAGAGAGAGACCTGTAAAAGAGACAGATAGAGACCAGAACAATACATTTGGCATCTGGGAGATATTGAGATCAGCATTTTCAACAGAAAAGAGAAACGGACATGACCATCCTCACTCAGCCAATCAGCTCTCTGCCCAGTGATTCAAATTGTAAACCAAAAAATATACCCTAGCTTTAACCTTTTACCAAGTAAAAGTGTAGATCTAGGACTGAGGCTGTAGATCTAGGACTGAGGCTGTAGATCCAGGACTGAGGCTGTAGATCCAGGACTGAGGCTGTAGATCCTGGACTGAGGCTGTAGATCCAGGACTGAGACTGTAGATCCAGGACTGAGGCTGTAGATCCAGGACTGAGGCTGTAAATCCAGGAATGAAGCTGTAGATCCAGGACTGAGGCTGTAGATCCAGGACTGAGGCTGTAGATCCAGGACTGAGGCTGTAGATCCAGGACTGAGGCTGTAGATCTAGGACTGAGGCTGTAGATCCAGGACTGAGGCTGTAGATCCAGGACTGAGGCTGTAGATTCAAACAATAGAAATGCAATAACAAACACATTGTTTGGCACGGGATGAGCACTGTCCATAGATGTTAGTGAATGTTTAATTCATAATCAAAGTTAATAACTAAACTTGCACACTCATTAGATTCATATATTTCTCACACTTGGAAATTACCCATTTTAATTTCCTGTATGTTCAAAACTTGCAAACCTGTCATTTACCTGGAACATCCTCCATAATTGCCACCTTCTTCCTTGTGATTTTTCGAACAGCGCTCCTCCCCTGCTCTTCTCACCAGACCAGTTCAGTGCATGTTGTGGACGTTGGAATTCCCAGTTGCATCACAGAACACGCTCCTTTAAAACCAGCTGCAGCACTCAGATGTCCACAAACGCACAGAGAGACACCTGGAACTGAGCCCAAACCAAACCACATCCACCATGGGAGACACACTCCTCTTCCCGGACGATAACCAGAGGCGCATCGAGGCCGTGCAGAAGTCGTTTGGACCGGTCGGGACCCGTCTGCTGGAGCCCCACAGGGTCCTGATCGGAGAGGGCCGTCTGGTGAAGCAGAGCCGCAGAGGAGCTCAGCCCAAAGCCTTTTTCCTGTTTAACGACATGTTGGTGTACGGCAGCATCGTCATCAACGGACGCCTGTTCAAGAAGCAGAAGGTCATCCCTCTCGGTAAGAAACGGGCTATGAATCTTCTTAAACTGACTAATAATATTATTGTTTTGCATTTTGTCTCTGGTTTCTTTCTCTGTTCTCTTTATGGTCCATGGATGGTCTCTCTCGTTTCTCTCTGTTCTCACACTGTTCTGGGTTGTACATATTTCCTTAATTTGAAATTGTATTTAATTTTTTTCCTGTTGACAAACGGACAATACGTTTTCTGTTCGCTGAATGCGCTGCAAAAACTGAAACAATAGATGAGAATCGAGTACAGACCGACTTTCTAATAAGCAGGTTATTTATATATGATTTGAAATAGTGTTGCAATTTCTCATTCCAAGACAGAGTACTCTTTGCTTGTCTCATTGGCAGAGCTTGAACAAAATGGCAAATTGTATCTCTATCTGAAATGTTCCCACTGTGGGACGAATAAAGAAGAAAAAGACATTCTCCCTTGGAATGAGACTAAAGTGCTCTATGTGGCACGTGTGTGTGTATGTGTGTCTCCATGTCTCTCTCTGTTTGTGTCTCCGCCTCTGTGTGCGTCTGTGTGTGTGTGTGTTTGTATTTGTCTCTGTGTGGGTGTCCGTGTGCTTGAGTGCAATAATAATATTTTGACTGTATTTTAAATTGAAAATGGCTGAGAACTGTTTTCTTACGGACTCTATCCGTCCAGGACTACAGCTGGACAAAAGTATTTTTGCTAAAACTTTGCACTTGATCAGTTTGTGTAAACTCTCAGTCGTACAGGGATTAGTTTAAGCAAAGGAAGGTTTCCCACCCATCATCTTCTTTCCTGACGTTTCGTCCTTAATCCAAATAACCGTTTTTTTTCTGCTCCCTACCACATCTGAACAGACCTTAGATGTGTTTATGAGTTAGCCTCAGGATTAGGGTGTGTCCAACCACACCCATAGGTTATAAATCTCCAACACGTCTGAGATTTCATTCCCTTGTAAAAGTTTTTTGGATTAAGTACAAAACATCTGGAAAACCTGCTAAGAAGTACAGATGATGGGTGAGAATCCTTCCTTTGCCTTGCACTTGGTCGTCTTTTTATAAGACTAATGTTGATTTGCACTGTCCCTGATCCCATGACTTTGATTTTAAACATTTCGTGCTCTGACATTTCAGGGGACATAAAGCTGGAGGACCTGGAGGACGGCTTCATGAGGCACCAGTGGCTGATCCAGACGCCAGGGAAGTCATTTTACGTGTCAGCAGCGTCCCGTGAGGAGAAGCTCGCCTGGATGGAGCACATCACCGTGTGCCAGACCGCCCTCCCGAGCAGCGGCCTGCCCCTCGCCATGACCTGGGTACCTGACCACGCCTCCGCCATCTGCATGCGCTGCACCCGGAGCTTCAACGCGGCCCACCGCCGCCACCATTGCAGGAAGTGCGGGTTCCTGGTCTGCGGCAACTGCTCCCGAAAGCGCGCGGTGGTCCGGAACATCCACCCGACCAAGAGGGTGAGGGTGTGTCTGCAGTGTCATGTGGGGCTGAGGGGGAAGGAGGAAAAGGAGGAAAAGGAGGAGAGAAGGAGAAAGAGAGGGGACAGCTCCGGCTTGCGCTCTGATGAAGAGGAGCAGGCCAGCTTTGAAGACCATCTCTACGAGGACTATATAGAGGAGGATTACGAGCCGCAGGACTGAGCTGACAACAACATGGACTCCTTCTCTGCGTACGTCTACCTCAAACCTGAACACGTGTGGCCCTCGCAGTGAAGAACTGTTCACAAAGACCACAAGCACTCAGAAATATCTGTATTACCATGTTTTGTTGCCGTCCAGAAAGTCGAGAGCGAATCTCTCTCCCGTCTCTCTCTGGTCTCTCTTTGGTCTCTCTCTGGTCTTACTCTCTCGCTCTGGTCTTTCTCCAGTCTCTCTCTGGTCTCCCTCTGGCTCTCTCTCCCTGGTATCTCTCTCTCTCTGATCTTTCTCCGGTCTCTGTCTCTTGTCTCTCTCTGATCTCTCTCTCTCTCTCTGGTCTACCTCAAGCACGAGCAAGTCTGGTTATCACTGTGAAAATATAATGGTTGTATAGCCATACAGATGGACAATGCTAACCTGGTACCTTCTTGGAGATGATACAGTATTTAGAAAGCAGATTGTCGACGGAGGAAAGGCAAGTTTATTTGTATAGCACAGTTCATACACAAGGGAAAAGTCATATAAATAATCACAGTGAAGAAATGCAGGCCTCAAACCTGAGAGTGAATTATTTGTGTAGGTTTTGTTTCTTACACAATAACCGCTAACCCTAGTTTGATATATACTTGTTTTTTCAGAAATATCTTACAAAGGACCGGTTGTTTTCTGTCCAAAAATCTGTTCAGTAATCTGGAACATATATTTTACAGTATTTCAGAGCCAGATTTAGCAACGATGTAGTTGTGGTTATTATCCACTAGATCCTTTCAACATATGGTTCTGGTAAAAAGTTCAATATAATTTGTGAATAAGGTTTTTTTAAATACAGTTTATAATCATTCTATAACTGATGTTTCATATGATTTTGTACGTAGCTCATGTGTTTGTTTTAACATACTAATATTTGAAATGATTGACCCTCTGTCACAACAGCAGATCAACCGTTCCATTGTTGTATCATTTATGAAGGACTTTACATTTTTCTGTAAATATGTATTTATTTTTATACTGTTTAATGTGATGTGGCTCTTTGTTCCAGAATCTGCCTCATTTTGTATTTTCAATAAAATTAAATAAAACAAAATATGTTATTTGACCATGTTGATTGTTTGTCTATGAACTACTTATTATTTATAGATGTAGGGAAATGTCTATTCCAAAGGCAGTACAACTTTAGTGAGTTAAAGTTGAACAGGTCCATGGTTGTGTGTTAGTGGCAGTCGGTCGGCCATATTGGTAAAACCTGTCAGTTCAGTCTGTGGCCTCGGTTACATGTTCTTTTCTCAAGAGAAGATTTCCTCAGCGTCTGCCATCACATCAATTACAGCTTGTCTTTGTGTGTGTTTTTCTCCCTCCAGCACAGTCTGTTCTTAAGCACTGGGTTTTATGTGGGCTTACACCGCGGCTTGTGCACATTTAGGCTTGTGCAAAAGTGTAATAATGAACAATTGACATTTGAAGTTGCGCTTCCACACACCAATAATTTAAATGCATTATAGTGAAAAAAGGATGACACCCGCACATTGTCTAACTTGCAAACACCAGTGGTTTATTAGCAACGTTTCGGCCACAGGCCTTCCTCAGGCAAAATATACAAATAGAGGTTGGGAGCCATCTTAAATAGGGAGGGGCTGACAACGCCCCTGGATGTAATCAACTATACCAGATGACCAAAAAAAAAAAAAACTCCTACGCACCTGTCATAGAAGAGATGTGCGAAGTCTACCTCTTTTAAATGCATTATAGTAAAATTATAAATCTAACAGTCTATAAAAACACACACATAAATAGGCTCATGATAGTTCTTACCCCAATCCTGAATTGTCTTACTTCTGCACAATCAAACAGGATTTTGCTGTTTCAAAAGTGATCTTAGAAACTGAAATTGTAGTGGTGTGTGTCAGAGCCAGAAGAGTTTATCTGATGGCCTAAACCTCATCACGCTATACATGTTCAATTGTTGTTTTTAGGATTGTATTTCCACTCTTTTTAATCCACTGTGAATATTTATGTTTTGAATGTATTGCATAGTGCTATCTTATATTGTTAAGTTCTTTGAGTTGCCTTTTGTATTGGCTAAACAAATGAGCTTGTCATATATTTCCACAAGTATGTTTCCTATTTTTTCTACTTAAACTCTTCATGTTGCTTCTCTCTTTGTTGCGTCTCAAGGCGAGGTGTTAGGGCTGGTCTTTTTGTCAGAGCTTTCATCCAATCATATTCAGCCTTCATGTGTGGTACCACTTCAACTCCGCCTTCTCGGCTTCAGAACCAACTCTGCAGGCCTCATGTGGTAGGACAGGTTCTGGAGACCTGTGCTGGGTAAAGCAGCCGTTTGATTTCTAATCTCTGTATAGATATATTCTATTTATTTATTTATTTAGAGCAGTGTCTCCCAAAGTGGGGTCCGCGGCCCCCTGGTGGGCCGCGAGGGTACTGCAGGGGGGCCGCGGGAGGTCATAAAAAAATATATATATATATATATAATTATTTAATGTTAAATTTATAATGTTTTGTTTGTAATATTAAAATATTTGTGTTCATTATTTGACTTGAATAATCCACTGTAATTATTTTTGTATAACAATGTTTGTAGCAGAGGCTATTTCCCCAAAATAAAATAACCAGAAGAGCCTATTCTTAATGTTGTCTTCTTGGTTATTATTTTGGGGGGCCACGCAGACCCGTCAGATTTTTAAGGGGGCCTCGGTGTTACTGAGTTTGGGAAAGGCTGATTTAGAGGATAAGCCCCTTGAGATGAACCATCTCATTTTCGAGGGGGTCCTCAAGATTTCACAAAGTGACAGATACAGCAAAACAGATGCAAACAAAACAAAAATACAAGATTTTTTTTTTTTTTTTTATAATAAAAAAACATGCACACACATAAACCCTCAATCACTCACACACATACACACACACATACACACACACACACACGCTGTGACTGTACTGTAATTACACTATAAGGATAATACTATTAATAATAGTAATAACAATAATTAGGAGACAGTAAAGACAAGATTAGGTCTCATAACCTAAGATCAAAAACATTGACATGAATTCTGGAGATATTGTAGCAGAGCAGATTTAAACAGAGGCAGAGAAGTTAGAGAGCGAATAGACAACGGCAAACTGTTCCAGTCAGACGAAGCTTTATATTCAAATGCATGTTTTCCAGCTTCTTTTTTCACTCTTGGGACGACAAAAAAAGACTGATTTGCACGACGCAAACTGTTCGAGGATTGGAAAGGAATCATATATTGTTTGAAATATTCCGTAAAACTGAGATAAATACATTTGAAAATAAACAATAGCCAATGTAGCTGACGTCTGGAGGACAGAGAGTATGAACCTACACAGGCTGTTGTAAGAGACAGTCAGAGGCTGGAGAACAGAGGCAGAGGTGTTTAGATAAATTATATCACAGTAGTCAAGAATGGGGAGAATCAGTTGAGAAATGATCCTCTTCCTTACTGATAAACTAAAACAGTTAATCGATTGATAAAGTAATTTTAAACGATGGAAATTTTGCTTGTAAATGTTTGTATATGAATATTAAATGACAGAGAAGGACTGAGCCATAAGCCGAGATATTTAAACCGATCATTTCATTTGTGGAAACAGGACACACTCTCTTCTGGAATAGTAAAAAATCTGTTTTTGATTTGTTAAGTAATAATTTGTTAGATTGTAGCCATAAATTAACTGAATTGAAGTCATTTTGAATAGAGTGTTGATGATGATACAGTAATCTATTCATCCAAAGCTAACATTGCTGATATATAATTAAACCAGAGGAGTGAGGGCCGATCCAGGCCAATGGAGTGAAGCTTGTCTAAAAGCAAATAATGATCGACCAAATCAAAAGCTTTGGTGAGGTCAATAAATAAAGCACGAGTGAGTAAGTTATGAAATGATGACCTGTGACCCATGATGATCTATCTAGCTATATTACAAAAAAGGTAAAACTTATTTGCTCTGTTTGCACAGTTTACTGACACCTATTGGTTATTTACTGTTACTACTGTCAACAATGACACTCCCAATAAAACACTTATTTTGGCAAACAAACAACAAACTTGTAACCAAATATGTACTATATGTAAAAAGTGAATTCACTTTTATTAGTAACTTTGGTAAGTTTCAGATTTCAATTCATAGATAACATCGATGGAGGGGGACCCAAAATTTACAGCCTGTCTAGTGTAGTCCATTTATTTAATCCAGCTCTGCACATTCCTAATTCCATGCCTAATCTACAGTCTAGACGCCACAGTATATGCACTCTTTTACTTCATTCCGACCGGAACAGCAGGCTCCTGAACTAAGCGTCTTCATGCTTCAGACTTAACATCCCAGCCTAGTGCAGGTCTACAATTTGATCCCTGATGACCTTGCACAGTTCTCTGGTCTTGCCAAGCCCCGGTGATCCAAGATGGCGCGCTATTCAAATGAATGGCTTGTGCTCAATAGTGCATGGGACATCACGGGCGCTGACATATTTGAAGAACCTGCCTATATTTGGACATCGTCTGCTCCTCCCGGTTTTGCGCAGTGGACGAGCTCCCATGATGCGATGCACCAAATACACGTGTGTGGCTCTCATGCACATGCACAGAGGGGCTCGGCCACACTCTGACCAATCAGCGCTGCTCATCAGAGCATCAGCGCTGGAGAGACTTGTTTATGGGAGAGACCTGCGGGACCGCCTCGGACTATCTGTGCTCGGACTACATTCGGACGTGAAACTAGCGGTAATCTTTCAGTTATATATTTTGTTAGCAGTGCGTTGCTTTTGTACCATTTCATCAGTGATTTTTGAACAGCTTACAAGAAGTTGTGCTCATGCTAATGTTTGCATATAGATCGCAATTAAAACTAGATTGCTCCGTGGAATGAGAGCGTAGGGGAAATGAGAAGCCTGTGAGCGACATTGTGCTAAACATTCAAACCTTGCGGAAACGGGGTAGCTCCTTTAACTGCTGTCTGAAGAATGAAATGCCTTATCTTTAGCATTCCAGTTTCTTCTCTGCAAAAAATACAAATATTCAAGCATCATATGATATCTAAAAATATTTTTGCTGTTGATTATTTGTTCATGGAAGGTAGAATTACTGCATAACGCTAACAGTTAAAAAGTCAAACCATTTGCAACCCACAGCTACAACAGATTTCCAATCTCTCAGAGTAGAAGCCTGTCTCATTTTTTCAGGAAGACTGTTCCAGATTTTTGGTGCATAATTCAGAAATGCTGCCGCCCCATGGTGTGACCTATAACAATAGGGTTGACTGGTGTGAGTGTGGACTCTAGCTGTAAAAATAGAACTCCCTCCACTCCCTTTTCTAATTTTGTCAGGGGAAGTTTCTGTCTTTAAGCCCTTATTTTTTTTTCTATGTGCCCTATGAATGACTTTGACTTTTGAATGCGCTGGACTCGGATTCCTAAGTAGCTCTGAAACAGTTGTTATTTTGTGTCATACAGTTGTTAGTTTTATTGCTTTTTTCTACCTGTAAATGTTACTGCAGTACAGTGTTCATAGTTTAACACTGATCCAGAGCAGAGAGGATTCACGGACCGAACCAAGCAGATCAAGCAGAAACCAACTGGAAGATGTTATTTTTTTATTTTTTTTTTTTAAACATGCTATCAAAGCATTTTGCATTCTATCCTGGACCAGAGCAGAGAAAATGGTCCAAACCAAGCGGCCACTCCACCTCTGCTGCTATGAACTAAAGCGCTGTTGCATTTTAATACTACGGCTATTGTTAGCTTCTTCTAGAATGATCTATTTGTTTGTTTGTTTGTATGAATGGATATTTCTGTTGCTACTGGACACCTGAACAATAAAGTATATCTATCTATCTATCTATGACAGATTATCTGCCTTCAGCTCAAGTAACTATTAATACTGTACTTTGTCTTCTTTGTCTCCTACTATGCTGTACTGTGCCAGTTAAATCCAGGACTGCTGTGATCAAATTAGGCCCAAACAAACCTAATTTTGATCTCTTTTGTAAATATTACCAGCAAGATGCATCTGATTGGTATTACATATATGGCTCATATACGAAGACAACATCACAATATAAACACCAGATCCAAGACTGAGGCTGTAGACCCATCCTTGAGACTGTAGAGCCAAGACAGAGGCTGTAGATCCAGGACTGAGGCTGTAGATCCAGGACTGAGGCTGTAAATTCCGGGACTGACACTGAAGATCCAGGACTCAGACTGTAGATCCAGGACTGATGCTGTAGATCCAGGACTGAAGCTGTAGATCCAGGACTGAGACTGTAGATCCAGGACTGAGACTGTAGATCCAGGACTGAGGCTGTAGATCCAGGACTGAGGCTGTAGAGCCAAGACTGAGGCTGTAGACCCAGGACTGAGGCTGTAAATTCCAGTACTGACACTGAAGATCCAGGACTCAGACTGTAGATCCAGGACTGATGCTGTAGATCCAGGACTGAAGCTGTAGATCCAGGACTCAGGCTGTAGATCCAGGACTCAGGCTGTAGATCCAGGACTGAAGCTGTAGATCCAGGACTCAGGCTGTAGATCCAGGACTGACACTGAAGATCCAGGATTGAGGCTGTAGATCCAGGACTGAAGCTGTAGATCCAGGACTCAGGCTGGACAGTCCAGATAAAGAAGCAGAGAGAGGATAGTGCTATTTCTATACGTACTTTTTCTCCACATGCAACTTGACAATCTGTGTTTATTTGACTACTGGGCCATATGTTGATTTAAAGCGGAATTTTTGACACATTTGGAACAACTAGAAGTCTGGCATTTCGTGAGCGTTGTGAGAGTTTGGTTGATATGATTCTAATGTCTCCTCAAGGACGGAGGGAGCCATACCAGTCTTTGATTTTAAGTTTTTTTTCATTCAATTAACATAGCACAGGTTTCTTTTTTATGGTGTATCTAAAAGGCTTTGAATGACACAACATAGTACTAGATGCAAATTTTGTTGCTAAAATTAGTTGTCATTCCTTTGTACACTTCTTTTGTGTTATGTATAGGTGCACATTTTGAAAGGTGAACAATAAGAACAGGTTATATTATTACGTCAGAGTCAGAGATTCAACAGTAGCAGACAAAAGGTTTAAGAAAACAAGGGAAAATCTGTTATCTGAAGGTTTCCATTCAAATCTATTAATTCTTCTGGGGATGTGGGAATACTGCTGTGCAATTTCTGATGCCGGGGGTCAGCAGTGTGTGTCCCATCAGTGCGTTCATTCAACAAACAGAGGAACAGCGGGTGAATAGCAATGCACGGACTAAATTTACAACGTCAAATGTAAAAAGTCCATTATGTCTTCTTATGTTTAATGCTTAGAAGATTTTTTTAATACGACAAAATTGTGTGAAGAAGAATTGTTTTCATCCTGCAGCTGTGGATGTGACGAGATAAATGCTGTTGAAATAAAGTCTGGTGCATCAGGGAGACATTTAACGTACATTTACAACAGACTTGGATGTATGCACTAAAACAGTTTATTTGGTGCATTATGGGGAGCAAATGATCCCACTGCCATCTGACACCTGTAGATTGACCCCGGACATATTTGAAAGACTTTAGTCAGAATGATGTACGGGGCTAAAAAAACCCCTCAAACTGTAGATCATAAGTGATTATAATGGTGTCTCTGCAAAGGACAATACATGACTGGGAACTAACCAGAAAATAGTCAACCTTTTGTCAGACCGAATCACAGCGACTTCCTGCAAAAATTCCCTCAAAAACCCATAACAACTTCCACTTGTTTTTAGCCGTGGGCCTGCTGTCACTTTAATAACTGCTTGCATCTTTTGAATCTTGCAAAACCAGTTCTTCTGTAAAAGGAAAAAAAAAAAAACTTCACAGGCGATATAAAAGCCGCTGTTCTCACTCCGCTCTCAGGTGGTGTGTTCAGTTTGCTGCCACAATGACGCAGCACATCTCCTTCATTTCGGAGAACCAGAGGCGCATCGAGGCCGTGCAGAAGTCGTTTGGACCGGTCGGGACCCGTCTGCTGGAGCCCCACAGGGTCCTGATCGGAGAGGGCCGTCTGGTGAAGCAGAGCCGCAGAGGAGCTCAGCCCAAAGCCTTTTTCCTGTTTAACGACATGTTGGTGTACGGCAGCATCGTCATCAACGGACGCCTGTTCAAGAAGCAGAAGGTCATCCCTCTCGGTGAGAAACGGGCTATGAATCTTTTTAAACTTACTAATAATAATAATATTCTATTTTTTTACATGAAACAGGCTTCTCTCTCTCTTCTGTCTGGTCACTGTCTCTCTATAGTCTCCCTGGTCTCTATAGTCTCTGCCTCAGTTTTCTCTGTGATCTCTTCTTTCTTTCTCTGAGTTCTTGATCATAGTAACATATATTTTTACTTTTTAACCTGTTTCCTATCCTACCCGACAGTGATTAAAAGTTTTTGGTATTTTTCTAATCACTGTGGTTGACCCAAGAATTTCAAAAGGGTTAAATTGCATCTCTGATTTTTTTAGGGGGAACCTATTTTTTTAAACGTATATTCAATATATATTTACTGTTGAGCTTGCAGACAGATTATGGGGTAAGGTGGCAACATCTGTGCAAAATGTGAGTTCTATGTTCTATGCACGATTTCGTCTCAATCCAAGTGGGAAACTGCCTTTATTCGCTTGTTCCAACTTCCAATCAAATTGCTCAAATAATCTGCTTTGCCTTCTTCAATATTTCACTAGTGTTTTATAATTTGTTCACAGTATAACTGAGGACCACGATGCAAAATGCCCAACAATTTTCTTGGGTCAAAACAGTCAATCTCCTCTATGTGAGTTTGAGTTGTCGTGACAACAGCAGGTGATCTGATATTGAACAATCTCTAAGTTAAGCACAGTCATAGCCTACAACAGTAATTTGATTGTATTTTTTCTGGTAGGCTGATTTTCAGGAGCATTCTTGAACTTGTTGCCCTTCCCTCATTATGAGCGAGTTTTTCGAGTTCTGCAGTCGCTCTATGGTCCATTAACTTTCCTTGGTCGGAGAAAGGTGGTTGATTGAACAGTGTTTTTGTAGATAATTCTTTCCATCTCATACGTCATACAAGATGTGGCGCCAACTGTATATGCAACCTCCCGACAGACCTCTGCGGCTAAGCAGGGCAGGGCAGGGTCACTGCTGTGATAGGAGACCTCTAGGTACATACAGTAAGCAGACCAGGGACACTGTGAAAGAATGAGATTTCAAAGCAATGAAGTGCTGGATAAACCTATTAATATGCTGTGTTAAGGCACAAGAGACAAGCGCCACAGTGGGGCATGCAGCAGTGGCTGTAACGTGCCAAACTGTCGCTGTGCCCTTAAGCAAGACACTTCACCCACATTAGTTTATCATCACCGTGTTTGGACTGAATTAATAATGGTGTGAATCTTCATTGAATGTCCAGAAAAGCGCTGTTTCAAACACATGCATTATTATTATTACTAAGACAGAACTATAGTGACATTAGCAAAGTCATTTTCTTTCCGTCAGACCTGTCCTTCAGATGAGATGTTGAAACTTTGTCAAAAACATTGTCCAGGTGCCTTCCTCAACCTTATCTGTCTAAACCACAGATGTCAAACTGGTTTCAGAAAGGGCCAATGTTGCCACAGGATATCATTCCAACCAAGCAGGGGAATACAAAACTCCACCCATTTCCTGTGAGTCCAGTCTTTACCTGAGAAAATTGGTCTGATCTGCTTCTGCTTGGTTGGAATGAAATCCTGCAGCCTCTCGTCCTTTAACCCCTCTAATCTAAACTATATATAGTAATTTTTTTTATATATATATCAACTGTCTGGTCTGCGTCTCTCACTGGTCTCTTTCCCTAGTCTCCTTCTCATCTCTCATAGTCTCTCTGGTCCCTCTCTGTCAATGGTCTTTGTCTAACTATATGTAGTCTTCTTTTTATTGATTTATGTCTGTTGGTTTTTCCAGAGGACATTGAGCTGGAGGACATGGAGAACGGTCACCAGATGAAGCACCAGTGGTTGCTCAAAACTCCCCGTAAGTCCTTCTACGTGTCAGCAGACTCTCCTGACGAGAAACAGGCCTGGATGGAACACATCGCGCTGTGCAAGGCTCGCCTCCTGAAGGACAGCGGCCGCAAAGCCGGCTCCACCTTCGCCGTGACCTGGATCCCAGACCCGGCCTCTGCCATCTGCATGCGCTGCTCCCGAAAGTTCACCTTGATCCATCGGCGCCACCACTGCAGGAAGTGCGGATTCTTGGTCTGTGGCGTGTGCTCTCAGAAGAGCGCAGTGATCAGGAACATCCACCCGACCAAGAGGGTAAGGGTGTGTAAGCAGTGTCACGTGGGGCTGAAGGGGAGGGAGGAGGCGGACGAGGAGGGGAGAAAGAGAGGGGACAGCGCCGGCCTTCGCTCTGATGAAGAGGAGCAGGTTAGCTTTGAAGACCAACTGTATGAAGACAATGTGGAGGATGACTATCAACCCCTGAACTGGGCTGACATGGACTCCTTCTCACCGTACGTCTACCTCAAGCCTGAGCACGTGTGGCCCTCTCTGTGAAGACCTGGTCACAGAGACAAGCAAGGTTCCAGAAAATAACTGTATTATAGCTGGACGATTCTCACAAACTTTGAGCCAAAATCACATGAACTTTTCTCTGATCACTTCACTGGAGGTATGCGCGTGTAAACACCACGTATATCTCTGCAGTCATAATTATGTTGATGTAATCGTTTTGCAAAGCTGCTAAAACCCGAAGCCGATGCTAATTGAAAACAGCAAGCGTTTGTGACCACGGTACAGTGGGCCGCGACTGAACATCTGTTGCACAATTTCTTTGAGACATTTAGAAATTAGCAGCTAAAACAAGTTACCCTTTGTTAATTCTTGATCATGGTCTCTCTCCCTGGTCTCTCTAGTCTCGCTTTGGTCTCTCTCGCCCTAATCCTCTCAGGTCTCTCTCTCTAGTCTCTCTTTTCTCTCTATGGTCTCTCTCTAGTCTCTCTGGTCTCTCTCTCCTTTCTCTCTATGGTCTCCCTCTAGTCTCTCTGGTCTCTCTCTCCTTTCTCTCTATGGTCTCTCTCTAGTCTCTCTGGTCTCTCTCTTGTCTCAATCATAGTAACACAGCCTCATACCTCTGATCGTCTGACCTGGTGACAGTGGCCTGTTTTGGTTTCTTCATCTTGGTAATTCCTCTGCTGCAAGATAGTATATTTCTTGTGGCCTAGTGTGCTTCACTTGCATGACAGTGTTGAATTATAAGCCGACAGATCGGTTTCAGCACTTTCTCAGTCTCTGTCTTACCTCAGGCCATTGCATGTTTTTACTTTATGGATGGACATGACATCAGAGTGAATATACAGTATACATAATTGCACATATGAGTGGTTCTTTATGATGAAGAAACATTTAGAATCACTCCTCTCTCTCAGTGTTTAGTTCAATGATTCTGCACAATTCCACCATGATGGACAGACGGTGAAATACTTTTTTTTTTCTCACAAGTAGCCATCTCTGTTTCGAGTCTGACCTACGTGAGGCCATGTTTGTGTCTGAACTTGAGATGCTGTTGTTGGACACAGTCAAGTCTCAGAGGAAAGACACCGTTGAGCCAGTTGCACTTTCAGGAGCATTCCTCTAAAGCTGCTGAGAACCTGATGCCTTGTCTTCCTGCTGAGTCCAGGAAAAAAAACATTTGAAGGAAGTCGCTATTTTACCTTGTGCAATATTGTCTGTGGTATTAAAGAGAGATTATATAAACTCAAGCCTAATTCGACTGTAAATAGTTTATTTATTGTCTTTTGTATAACGTGAATTTTTGTATTTGTTTTTCAAGCTGCTTTTAAAAATGTGAAGATTTCTGTTGATAATGATGTCCACTCTGAACGTCCACATGTACGAACCGTAGAATAAGGCTTCTCTAATGTTTTATAATCTGAATAAAAATTACCATTAAAACTGTGTGCATGGACTGCTATAGTAAAACCATAAATATTTATTATTTATTTATTTATTTCAAAACCTGCACAAAAACAAGTACAAATATCAGTTATCAAATAAAAAGAGTCACAAGTTTTGAAAAGGGGGTTGGGTGAAGCAGACGCTTATACATTTCCAACCCCCTCACACTTCCAGCAAAACAGCAAATACAAATTACACTAACACTGTACAGTTATATCATTGCATCAAATACAAAATACAAAATAATAATAAAAAAACAAGACACACAGAGACAAGACGCACACTCATTCTCTCACTCACACAGACACTGGCCCAAACACTCCCTGACCACACACCTCTCTCCCACCGCTCTGTCCAGGCCCAGGGCATCACTCTCTGTCCTCCATGTATTTCTTCAATATGTCTCTTTTAAATTTCTTTTTAAAAGCAGTCATAGTTGAGCATGTTTTTAATTCTTCTTTTAATCCATTCCAAATGTGGACGCCTCGGACCGAGATACACATAGATTTTAATGTCGTCCTAAATCTAGGTACATATAAAAGTTTGTTTCCTCTTAATCTGTAATTATGATGAGCATCTCTATCGTTGAAAAGATGACTTATATTGGACGGTAGAGAGTTTTCAGACGCCCTGAACATTATCTGAGCAGTTTTTAGGACAATCAAGTCCTGCAGTTTCAGTTGCTGGTTTTGAATGAACAGAGGATTGGAAGGATGTCTGTAGTGGACGTTGGACACAATCCTTATAGCCTTCTTTTGCAAGATAATCAGAGGCTGTAAGTGAGATTTGTAGCAATTACCCCCACACTTCCACACAGTAATTTAAATATGACATTATAAATGAATGATACAGTAACATAAGAGCATTGGTATTGATCAGGTGACATGCTCTCCTCATTATTCCCACACACTTAGCAACTTTTGTCCTCAAGTAACTTATGTGAGGTTTCCAGCTCAGATCTTCATCTATTATCACTCCCAAGAATACGTTTTGTGGAACTTTGTGAATCGGTGTGTCATCAATTGTAATTCTAACTGGAATTTTACTTTTGCGATTACTAAAAAGCATGATTTTGGTCTTTTTTAGGTTAAGGGACAGTTTGTTATTATCAAACCATAATTTTAGTCTGTTCATCTCCATTGTTACAAGGGATAGAAGTTGCTCCAAGTCGTCTCCTGAACATGTGATGGTGGTGTCATCGGCAAAGAGTATAAACTTCATGACTGTTGATATTTTGCATATTTCATTGATGTACATAAGGAAAAGCGTGGGTCCCAGTATCGATCCTTGTGGAACTCCACAAGTTATGTCCCTAAAACCTGACCTGTGCATATCAAACTGAACAAGTTGTTTCCTCCCCTTGAGATAACTTTCCAACCATTTTTTTGATGTCCCCCTTATGCCATAGTTTTCCATTTTATTTATGAGAATGTGGTGGTCGATTGTATCGAAGGCTTTTTGGAGATCGATAAAGATTCCTATTACAAATTTATTATTATCTATACCATTCGTTATATCTTCAATTTACTCATATTTATACCGGACTGCATGGTGGCTGAGTGGTTAGTGCTCTCAGCAATAAGGTTCTGGGTTCGATTCCACCTCGTTTAAGATTGGAATGTGCATGTTTCAATCAATGCATCGCGCCAAATCACAACCGCAATAGGAGGACTTTACAAAGTTGTGGATTGGCACCATCAACAGATCAGAGAATCAAACAGCTCTAACTCAGGAAATGCAATAATAACGAACACGAGCCATTGGTCCATAGGGAGCGGGACGTTCCGGTGTCCTCTACCACTAAAGCCATAAACTATAGTTCCTCTCTCTCTGGGGCCAGGACTCTGTTGGACTTCAGTGGGACTTTCCAGGTTAAATAAAGGTCAATGAATAAATATATGTATACTATGTTATTAAATGTAAACGTTAAATTTCCAATCAATACAAAACATACACAAATAATAATTCATACATTAAGATTCAGATTCAGATTCATTTATTAGCCATGTGCAGTATAAAAACTACATTGGAATACATTTGCAAAAAAAAAGGTACTCTGTGTGCACCGACAGAATAAAAAGCATGATACAATGTAATATAAAATACACATACACTGAATATAAAATAATAAAAAAACAGCTGACACTGCGGCACCGATCAACAAAACAATACAAGGAGTAAAAGCAGGAATTAAAGTGCTATGTTTAGGCACCTAACAGCCTGTGGAAAGAAGCTGTTAGCATAGCGAGATGTCTTGCATCTCAGCGACCGATATCTTCTGCCAGAAGGAAGAAGCTGGAACATGGCTTTCCCAGGGTGGCCAGAAGAGTCATTGATGATTTTAAGAGCTTTGTTTAAAAGTCTGGATTTGTAAAGAACCTCCAGAACAGGAAGCTCACAGCCCACGGTTCTCTTTGCAGAGAGGAGCGCCTTGTTTAAAGATCTCTTTTCTTTATCTGTGATGTTTCCAAACCACACAGACACAGAACCAACAAGTAAACTCTCAATGGTGCAGCGATAAAAGTTAAGCACAATCTTAGAGTTAGTGGTAAATTCTCTAAGTTTCCGCAAAAATAAGAGCCGCTGACGTACTTTCTTAACAACCCGGTTAGTATTTTTGTCCCATTTCAGGTCGTTAGACAGAGTTAAACCCAGGAACTTGCACTCCTCTACAATCTGCACCTGGGAGTTGTCAATAACTACAGGAGTGCGAGAACTGCTACGACTGAAGTCAAAGACAAGTTCACATGTTTTTGCGGTGTTCAGCTGGAGATTATTTACTTTACTCCACTGAAAAACATGTTCGATCTCTGCTCTATAAGAGGAATCATCATTGTCACTGATGAGACCGATGATGGTGGTGTCATCAGCATATTTGATGATCAAGTTTGAGTCAGAGGAGGACACACAATCGTGAGTGTACAAAGTAAAGAGCAGAGGACTCAAAATACATCCCTGAGGAGAACCAGTGCTCACAGAAACAACATCAGAAAAACCGTCGTTGATTTTCACTCTCTGAGATCTGTCAGTTAAAAAGCTAAAAATCCATTTACACATGGCAACACTTAAACCGAGAGACATGAGCTTTTCAATCAGTTTACCTGGGACAAGGCAGTTAAAAGCAGAGCTATAATTGATGAAAAGCATTCTCGCGACAGATTTACCAGTGTCCAAGTGACTGTAGACAGAGTTCAGAGCAAAGGAGATGGCATCCTCCACACTCCTGTTCTGTCTGTAAGCAAACTGGAGCGGGTCAACGCTCACAGGGATCTGGCTCTTAATGAAGTCCAGCACAAGCCGCTCAAAAGTTTTCATAAGAACAGACGTGAGGGCCACAGGACGATAGTCATTCAGGCATGTCACAGGAGTTTTCTTAGGAACTGGAATAATGGTGGACCTTTTAAAGCTCACCGGCACCGTACAGCTCCTGAGTGACAAGTTAAAGATGTCCGTTAAAACAGGGGCAAGTTGCTCGGAGCACAGTTTCAGGACGCGGGGAGGAATGCAGTCCGGGCCTGCGGCTTTCCGAGCTGTGGTCCTGGACAAGACCCGCCGTACTTCATCCTGAGTCACTGTGAAGGCACCCTGACATTCGGGGA